AAAGTCACCTACATCTTGGATGCCCTGGGGGTAAGCAGATAAACATAAAATTTTCATTTTTGGGTGAACTATCCCTCTAAACACATTTTTAAGATAATGGTAATGCTTATGAATCCAGTCTGGGCTTGCAGGGCTCTACAGTGCGACCATTTCAGTCGCATTTGTGAATGAAAACTAGTGCGTGCGGCTATGAAAAAATATTTAAAGGGGTCATTTGATGCTATTTTAAAGATCATTCTTTTGTGTATTTGGTGTAACAGATTAAGGGAGTTTGTAAATGTGATAGCCTACTGATTTAATACAACAGTTCAATAAACAAGAAGTTAATATTAAGTGACTTACATTGTCTGACTATAACACTATTGTCTGATTTAGCTCTATTTCGTCCTCGAAAATAGTTTGAAACAAAGTAACAGCTGAGCCGCTGTAAATGAATCTAGTGAGTTAGTAATTCATGATTACCCATTCATAAAGACAGTCACTTGCTTCGTTCCTGAATGAATCAGCCGTTCAAACGAATCAATTGAATGAATGATTCAGTGATAAAATCAGTGACTTGCCGCCACCTGCTGGCAGTTTTAGTTTCATTTTTAAAGTATCTTTTCAGTTATTTAAATCATTTAATATTTCTATATTCAACATTTTATATTTAAAACATTAATCTCAACATGAATTTATGGATTTAAGTAGGGATGCACTGATACCGACTCGTTAAAATGCCCCGATACCAAACGCCGATACCACACAGAATGCGATAAGTGCCGTATTCAGACAAAGAAACACCAACAACAGACAGCAGAATGGTTATTAAAGATTAAGGATTTCTACTAGAGCCCGACCGATATGGGTTTTTTGGGACCGATACTGATATTAGGGAGTTAAAAAAGGCCGATTTCGATATATCGGCCGATATTCTTTGTGTATATTATAGTACAGTACCAGTCAAAGGTTTGGACACTTTCCCATTCGTGTGTCCAAACATTTGACTGGTACTATATATAGAATACAGTATATACATAAACAGAATGAATGAATATATATATATAACACATTTTTTTCAATGATCATTCAAATGTGGTGATCAAACACTTATAATGATGTGACAAAGATATGTGATGGAGGCAGGGCATTTAACAATTTAACAATAAACTTTATTATCCAAAATGAGTCTGACATCAGTGCACTGAACAGTAAAGTTGAAGTTTATTCAACTTTAATTCAATTCAATTCTATTCAACTTTATTCCTTTGAAATTTTTCACTTCGGAACATTCGTTCACGGATTTGCGCTACTGTCTTCACACACAGACGAAACTTACTAGAGAAGTGTGAAGTGTGACATAATATACCTCTGTAAATAAATACAATATAAATAGGGATGCACCGAAATTAAAATTCTTGGTCGGAGCCGAAACCGAACAAAATTAAACCCTGGGCCGAAGGCCGAATACCGATTTACCTATTATTTTTTTTTTTTCACCATTGCATAAATTAAAAAGCCAAAATGTGCTTTTTACTGTTTTGTCTTGCTTTTCAAAAAAAAAAAACAATTACAAAACAACAATTTAAAAATATTTAACACTGTACGTTTAACATTCTAGCAGACACTAAACCAACAAGGCACAATTTAACTTAAAATTAATAAGTTAGTAAAATAATAATTTTTGACAATCTTGAATCAGGCATGCTTTTTTTTTTTTTTACTGTACAATTAAAAGCAGCCTTGCTGAGAAGAGACTTCTTTTAAAACATTAGAAAATATTACAGATCCTAATTTGAACACTAT